TTTCAGAGTTCAGTAATGAAGGTCTTATAAATTCCCTTAAAATATGAAAGTGTTTTGACTTGCTAATAATAAAAAAAAAAAAAAAAAGGCAATAAACTGTTAGAAATGAGAATTTTTCCAAAGTCTTCCATCAGCTTTTACAGGATTTGGGGAGGAACGAAAAATATGATTAATTTTAACCAGTAGGGAGTTGACCGAATGCAGGGGAACATAAAATATTTAATAAATCCAAATAAACTCTGCAGTTCTGAATATATGTATTATGAACAGCAGAGAACAGTGTTGGTAGTCAGATTTCACAGACCATTTACTCAACTGCAGTGGGAATATTCTTCTCCTTGTTTTTTGTTTTTTTTTTTTTCTTTGAGGAGAGCTGTGTGTGGTTGGTCAATAATATAATGGGAAAGGTGTGTAGTGGAAGGCAAATAACCATGGTGTGTGAACTATTTTAAGGTAAGAGATGTTTAAGGTAATTAAATAAATAAAATAAATGAATAAAAATAAAATGCTTTCACTTTTTTGTTACAGGAATTCTCTTTCGAGGTTGTTTCCCCCCCTGTGGGCACCTGACCTTGGAAGCAACGGGGGGTTCCCGGCGAAGCACCCTCAGGATAGCAAGGATTTCCCAAACCTGGTGGGGAGGATGCAGAGCTGCCCCCAGGAGCAGCTGCAGAAGCCTCCTGATGTGCAGATGTTGCCCAGAGGTTTGGGAGATCTCCAGCTCATTGAGTCTTGGCTTCCTCAGCCTCCTGGCAGCGTCCTGAGGAGCAGCTACCCTGAAAATACCTGCTTGCAAAATGATAACAACTACAGGGTTCCCCAGGAAGGGTTTTCGTTTCACTTCAATCAGCACTTGGGCAGCTTCGACCACGGGAGGCTCAGCGGGGACTGCGAAAAATTCGGCTCCAATTTTGACCCTTTTCCTTCTCAGAGCAGACTGAAAGAAGGCACTCATGCTCAGAAGGAGTACTGGAAAAGTGAAAGGGCAAGAGGAAAAGCCCTGAAAAATTATGCTCCAGAACAAGCTAAGTGTTCCCCTGACCTTTCCCACCAGCCCTTTGGTAACTCCTGGGATAAAGTATCCCAGGACAACCACTGGCTTTCTAAAAGGTATGAAAGCGTTGCAGCTGCCCACAAACTGCAGTCAGCTCTCCATCCATCGCTGTGTTTTTTCAACCAAGCCCCTCATGAAAATAAATTCCCCGGAGAAACAGCCAGAAAACCCCAGGAAACCCACGTGCAGAACGGCCACCGTGGCTTTCCTTTGGGGAGTGCTTTTAGTAGTAATGAATGTAAGGTTAATGTTGGCCCCAAAGAATTCCCTCCTGAAGTGGCTGAGTGTGATTTATCCGTGAAAAACGTTGTGCAGAACGGGAGTTACTCATCATTCCATGGGTGTGCGTGGCTGGATGGGAAAGGCCTGGCAGCTGGATTGGATGTTCCGTGTGGGAAACGGGTCACAAGTCCGCAGTCATCCTCAGGGGTCTCAACCATGTCTGGGGGTTCTCCCACCCATCAGTCCCCTTACTACTCACAGCTCCTACCTGTCCTCCCTCCCAGGAAAGATGGGAGGTTACAGACATCAAATGGTTTTTCTAATAATTTGGGGCTTTGTAATTTCACCTCAGAAAACCAGAAGCAAATGAAACCCGCTGGGCAATCCCAGCCGGGTTCCTTGACTAATAAGGAGGGGCCATACCATAAATTCCCTGTTCATTCCTCATCTGACTGGTTAATGCAGCAGAGGGCTGGAAGTGAAGACCCCGAGAAATACCACAGGTTTCCAAAAAAGCAGACCCAGGAGAACTGCAATAAAGATGAGAGAAGAGGCAGAAGGAGTTGGATCCCCCATCTGGGATGTGCCGCCCCAAACCACCCTCCCTTCAATATGTTCCCGAAAAAGCACGAGCAGAACGGTGGCGGCCTGTCAGACTTCATCAATCCCTCCTTCCTTCCTTCCTTCCCCTTCGTGTCTGATTTGAAGCAGAATCCCAGCCTGCCTCTGCTCAATCCCCATCTGCTTCCACCAGCCAATAACTTGGGTTTTCCCCCGGCGCCGTTTCCCTTCTCAGAACTTGTTGACCTTTTCCACTGCGACGACTTCAACCCCTTGAGCCCCTTCCTCAGCGACCTGTTCTGTGGGGAGGTGGCTGCTCCCTGCTTTGCCTTCCCAACCCCCTGGAACAAGCACAGACCCCCCAGGAACCGCAGTGGACCTGCCAATGAGCTGCACGTCCGACTGGAGGAGTGTTACGAGCAGTGGAGAGCTCTGGAGAAGGAGAGGAAGAAGGTAAAGCCCAACGGGTAATAATTCCTGATAAGAACTTGACTGGTTTTAAATCATCTGAAGAAAGAGAGAACTTAGTGTTTCTTCTTTGGTTGGCTTTTTTTTTTGGTTGTTTGTTTTGTTGGTTGGTTGGGTTTTGTGTTGTTCTGTTTTTTTTACTGTCGGTGTTGTCTTTCCCTTTTGGTATCTTATTTTACTAAATCTTTGGTTTTAGTAATATAGAAAATTAAGCAACTAATCCTGGGCAAACCTGCAGTGTCTCCTCTCCCAAAGGAAATAGCAATTTATGCTCTTCTTATTACAGCCACTTTCCTGCCTCAAACTCTCTTGCTAAGAGCTGTTGTCAGGGAGGGATCACGCTACTGAGAAATGGGAATGATAAAGGAGGAGGAAATGCTTTCCCAAGAGGAGTCAGATCTCTGAATTCCATGCCAGACATCAGAAACTAAATTGTCAATAATCCCTCTCCTAATTGTACACTGAGCCTGGCTATTTCTTCCGCTTTGGAGAAGGCTCCTGGTCTGATGAGGAGACAGATGTCTGACCAAACTGGACCTCTGGAGAGCACATTTTCCTTTCCCTCATCATTTGTGGGACCTTGCTAATGGACTTTAGGAGGTGTAAATAGAACTGCTCGCATTGTTCTCTCAGGGGTGCCCCTACACAAGACTCCTCTCTGCCTGTCTGATCTTCCAGGAGTTCTCTTCAAGTGGGAAAGGGTGATGGTGATTCCTGCTCCAGTGTTTTTGGAAACACTTACGCTTTCTGTTGTGGCAAAGAAGGCTGTTCCAGGCCTGCTCAGGCAGGATTTGTGTCAATTAAGTCATTAGGGAAGACCAAATCATAGGTTTTATGTCTTGGTTTCTTTATTTTGTGATTAAAGGACGCTTTCACTTCCTGGATGCCTTTCAGGCCTCTCAGGTGAGAGGAGTTGGAGTCAGTGAGCTCTTGTAATCCATGTTAGGCAGGGGCAGAGACTAAATAATATAGAAGTGTCAGTAAAACAAAAAGCAAGGGACTTCAGCACATGTTTGCAGTAGGAATGTACATAGTGGGAATGTGGACTTAAACTTGCCTTGAACTGCAGGGTGACACCTAGGCCCTCTCTCCTGTGTCCACTGGACACTGAAGAAGGAAAGAGAGAAGGAATCCACTGCTAGTTGTCTTTTTTTTTTATTCCCAAGTGTAAATAGTTCCTCTCCAAAAATAGTTTTGGTGATGTTTAGCCACTGTCTGTGTTACAGAAGTGGGTTGTTCAGTGTCTTTCTCAACAGGGAGTTGGGCAGCTGTATTAATAATTTTTCAGAGCTGATACAAGTTTAAGTTTATAAGTTAAATCTGACTTAATCCTGATGAACTTGAGATACAATTTCTGCTGCTGTGATTGCCTGTTCCTTTGTTTTAATAATCACAGTATATGAGATTTGAGAAATGCAGTGAGAGCCATTGAGTTTAAATTCATAGAACTGCAGAATCATGAAGGTTAGAAAAGACCTTTAAGATCATCAAGTCCAGCCATCAACCATCCTGTTCAACCACTAAACCACATCCCCAAGTGCCTGCTCCTTGGGTGCTACACAGGAATTTCTTTGCCTGGGTCTGTGTCCAAGATTGATTAAAATAAAGTTGCACAGGTTTGGTTCTCACTTCCCAGCTCAAATGACCCCTCTGTGGCCTGACTCTCTGCCACCTGAGCATTGCAATCTGAGGGAGAGCTGAATTAGAGAAATGCTCCTGCAAAGAAGCTGGAGAGGGAGTTTAGACAAGGGATGGAGTGATGGGACAAGAGGTAATGGCTTTAAACCAAAAGAGGGCAGGGTTGGATTAGATTTAGGAAGAAATCGTTCCCTATGGGGGTGGGCAGGCCCTGGCACAGGTTGCCCAGAGAAGCTGTGGCTGCCCCTGGATCCCTGGAAGTGTCCAAGGCCAGGTTGGAGCCACCTGGGATAGTGGAAGGTGTCCCTGCCCGTGGCAGGGGGTGGGACTGGATGATCTGCAAGATCCCTTCCTACCCAAACCATTCCATGACTCTGTAACATTTGGGAATGTTTTTCCATGACCACACTCAGAAGTGAAGATGGGACCCTCACTCCTAAAGTGCTCGGAAATTCCAAACGTCCCCCCCAAAACAGGCTTTAGTACCGTACTAATTACAAACACTCACACTGCATATTCATTTTCCCTTCAGACTGAGGCTGACCTTGCGAGACACTTCCCGGGGAAGTGCATCTCCAGCTGCAGCAACACCCCCACATCCCGCCTCCCTGCCAACCCCTCGCGGGTGGATCGTCTGATTGCTGACCAGTCGCGGGAACACGCCAGGGTAGGCCTCGTGTGTGTGTATGTCATATTTCTTTGAAGGGAGATTTATTATTTTTTAATAAACCCTTAATGGCCCCTGGCGTTCCCTGGCAGGTGGTGGCGTTGATAGGAACGATGGAAAGGCTTCGCGGCGCCCCCGTGCACGGGAACATCCCCGCGGCCCTGGAGCGCCACGGCGGAGCCGTCCACGGAACGCGGGCCCGGCGGGAGGAGGAGATTCTGAACGCTGCCAATCCCCAGAGACAAGGAGTGCCACGCTCCGCTCACGAGAAAGGTATCCCTGCAGAGATTTAATTGTGAACGGGCTCAATTTAAAATATGCCGGTTTGGGATGTGGGGCAATTAAAAAAAAGAAGAACTTGGAAGTACACACGTGTTGCTTTGTAAGCCTTTAAAGTTATTCTGAGGTTTAAACACTTCAAAGTGTTTCCCTCTGGACTAACAGAACTGTAAAAATTATTCAGTGGTGTTATATAACCATAAGTCGCTGTCCTGAAAGCAAAAATGTACTTGTTTTTAAGAATATTTATTTTTAGTGATAGTGCTGTACTTTCTTTTCTCTTCAGCTTATAAAGTTAAAAAAAAAAATAAATTTACTGGGGTTGTGTTAATTGATTATGTCTGTCTACCTTTATCTAAGTCACAAATTCACCAGAAATTACATTCCAAGTTCTGCTGAAGTAAAGCCAGAGGGACCTGCAGCAGCAGTAGAGGTGATACATGTCAGAATTTAGGGTTTGGGGGTAAAGGTAACTTTATTTTTCTTCAGAAAATGATTTCCAAAGAGGGGATGCACTTCCTGCTGCTGCAGTGGAGAAGCCAGAGAGGTTCCTTTGGCTTCCAGCAAAGAATAGTTCTTCCTTGGTAGAAGGGAAAGATAAACTGTAAAGAGAGTCAATGTTTTTCTTTTGCAATTTAAGCGTCAAGCATGATGTCAAATCCTTAAAAGAATAGCCCTATGTGCAAACTGAGTCCTGAAATAACTCCTAAAATTATGTCAGGTGACAGTAACCCCCAGCACAAGTCAGGAGCAATGGAAGGAAGGTTCTTGGCCAGGCATGAGAGGTAGGACACGGTGGTTACATGAATGATTATGATTAGATTTATTACCAATACTGTCACTAAATACTGCCAAAGCAGTCTGTAAAGAACAGCTCTATCATCTGTTACAGTGGATTGTTGTATCGTCAGATTGTGGTCCCTCTTGTTGCATCACAATCTTTGAGACCCCCTCACTTCCTAAACTTCCCAGGGAAGTGCAGCTTGATCCACTTAGTCCCAGATTTAGTCAACGATCTGTGTCTAAAGAGTTAAAACATCAGCAGTTTTGGCTAGAAACCACCAGGTTTAGTGCCTGGCCTTGCAGAACTCCCAGTTACAAAGCAGCAAATCACCTGTGGAGCTACTTTAGGACTTTATCTCCATATTTGATTAAATTGTAACGCTTTTAATTGACCCATCCCAAAGCCAGCGATCCCTGTCTTTGGGATGCTCCTTCCCTGCCGGGGCGGGGAGATGCACCCAGAAACTGCCAGCAGACTGACCAGTTGGCCCAGTCTCCACCAGCACAGACACAAGGAGTGCGAGGTGTCACACCCTTCACCAGAGAAGAGCCGCGACCGACGGGAGTTCAACCGGCGCAGCTCAGCCCTTTCTCGAGCGCACTTTGCTCAAGGAGATGAGCCGAGTCATCTCTTTAAACACTTCCAGGCTTGCACACTGATTCGAGATGTTTTCCTGTTGCAGATGTCCTGGCTCTGGCAGCTGCCATCGGGGCCCTGGCTGGTGCCACGCGCCGGGCTCGCACCGCGCTCTGGTGCGCGGCACAGATGACTCTGCCCAAAAACCCTCCTGGTGGGCCAGACAGAACAGAAGCTGCTCAAAGGGCATTGCAGGAGCTTCCTCCTCCAAGCACACAAGAAGAAAGCAGCGTGGAACAAGAAAAGCCTGAGGAACCCCCTAGGATCGTTGTGGAATAACGGGATATAATAGCGGCGACGGAGAGGGAGAGGCTGAGGACGGGGAGGGAAGGGCTCAGGGTCCTGCACAGCACCGTGGAAAGGGGGGTTTTGGTGGGATGTGAGAAAGCAGAAGGGTTCATTAATGTGCCTGGTCAGTGCTGCTGCAGTTCTGTTACTGTGATTCTGGTGTTGAGAGGCGCCTCTGGTGGCAGTGTTAATGCAGCTTTTTAACATTGCTGCTCTTGCAGTAGGAATCTTGGTGATAAGAGGAACTAAACAACAGCTGAGCGTTGCCTTGTGTGCTTCTCCATCACCTGACAAACCAGAGAGTGTGGTAGAACCTAATTCTCCATTTATTTTATTTTTTTTTTTTGTTAATGAGATAATTTAGCACACTTAAAGGTACTTAATAAATTATTCAGGGTTTTGTGGGGTGTTTTTGTTTGCACCATAACGTAGTTCTTCCAAGAGCCAAAGTGATCACTAAGTAGTTTGCATCCCATCACTCTGCCAGGAGCATCCCACGCTCCTGTGTTTTTTGGGAATCAGGTCAGCCAGATTATCACTGTTTTGACAGGAGTAATCAGTGTTTAAGGTTTGCTGGGTGAGATGCTGCAGCAGTTGTGCTGCCAGTTCAGCTGCTGGCAACCCCAGTGTGACCTGAGCTTTCCTGTGGCACAGTCCACTTCAATTTTTTCCATTAAAAAAAGGGTTTTGTAGCTTTGCAGTGTGTACTGCGCCGGAATACACGTCAGCACGTGGTAGAAAACCATCACTCAGGATTAGAAATCTAGATTTATTGTTTCCTCGGTGGGTTAAAAACCAGTAACTATATAACATAATATGCACTTATATTAATAGCAAACAATAATTTTTTTAAATTAAGTTCATGGTACTGTGATTTTTTTTTCAGACACATTCCGTATTTATTTCAATGTGTTCATTGAATGTTTATTTAAAATTCTATTTTAGTAATATAAAGTTTAAATATTTTTGCCAAATCTTCTGAATAATCAGATATAACAATTTACTCAGGAACTCTGTATATTATTATATAAATATACACGTGGTATTTAGGGATTTTTTTTTTTTTTTGGTGAAGGGATGTTTGCAAAATTATTTACACAAAGCTAACTATGTACTAGGTTACCAAAGCTGTTTAACTGATTGGGTTTTTTTGTGTGTGGAAGACTTAATATATTTAATTGCTGTTAACTTAGTCTCCGTTCTGTGGCTTAGACAATCAGAGTGTGGATGTTCAGGGTGAGAATTAGGAAAGAATGAGTAATTCCAGGTGTGTTCTTAGGGCATTTAGGAATATTTTAATGCTTGAACTTACTGTTACACTGTCTCTTAACATGTACTAATAATTAAGGCTCTTAAGTATCAGTTTATGTGGTTTGGAGAGCAGTTCTTATTTTAAAATTAAATTAAGTTGGTGATAAAAGCGAAGTTTGAAAGGCAAAAATGAAGACTTTTATGTTGCTTAGTGTTCAGCGTGGAATTTGACTTTCTGTGGATAATTAGAGAGCTGTTTCCATATCTATGTACTTGCAAAATGTTCCAAATGTGTAGTTTTGGCTCCGTGGATGTCCCTAGAGCTGATTTTGTCTCAACAGTGCCATCCTTAAAACTCTAATGAGGCAGTAGCACAGAAACTTGTAGCAAAAACTTACTCATTGTAATCCACTGAGCAAAGATTAGAAGCCAAACTAGGTAGAAATCAGATTCTTAGTGTAGCAAGATAACGGTGTGGTTTTTTTCCCTCTAAAGAAAGTGAACTCAACTTTAAAAAGAATATTTGTTTCAGCCTTAGCCTAAAAAAACCAGGTAACAGTTATTTGAGCGTGAGTGTTTTCTCCGTGTGCACATGCAGTTTATTTGCACAGACTTAAATTCGAGAAGGCCAGATTCGTGTTTGTGTAACCAAACAACCCCCAGCTGACCAGCGGAGCTCGAGGTGTTTCAGTTCGCGGGTGATTTTTGTGGTTTAATCACCCGTCGCTGCGGTGACAGGAAAATCGGGCTCTGCAAGCCTGGGTCAGCTTTGCTGTTTACAGAAGAACACTTGGGAGGGTGGTTTTGTGGTGAATGTACGGGGCAGAGTGGGTCCTTATTGCATTATTAGTGTTAATTAATATTGTGAAGGAACGTGGTCTTAAGTTCGTAGTTAATGTGCCTTTAACAGCCTCATTTTCCCCGAAGTGTTAAACAGCTTCTGTTTCCACTTGCAGTTTTTAAAAAACTCATTTTAAAGGGTTCTAGGGGTGGCTGCGCTGGGCTCCAATTAACACCCACCGTTAATTATGGGAATTGCACTCCTCGGGCCGGCCGGTTTGGGGCTCTTTAAGTGGCTGTGGAATGTTGTCACCCCGGGTCTCGTGTGCCAGTGTCAGATGTTCCTTGTCATGCCCTACAAATCCCTCCCCACCACCACCACCACCATCACACGCTCGGGTTTCACTTTGCCTCGCCCTGTTTTCTTCAGGAAAAACTCCAGCTCTTCACCTAAAAAGGGGTTTTTGTGCCCGTTTCTTTCACTGATTTTTCTCATGGGCAGCGTTAGTTCTGTTGCTTTATTTTTACTCCTTCCTTTTGTATTTTAGGGGGGGGAAATAAAAGCCCCACCGTGTCTTGTAAAACAGCACCTGGAGTTGCAGCAGCTCTGTTGTTCATGACGTTGTTTTTTTGCTGCCTGGTGGTTTAATTTGGCAACAAGGTACAAATTCTTGTTAAATCTTGCACTGAATTTTTGGTATGAATAAGTAAAATGTAATGCTTGTGTGGTTTTAGGAGCTAATTGTTACCTGACTTCAGGGGAAGCAGAGTCGAGGGTTTAGGTCACACTTAAGCCAGGGAGGTGGTTTTGGCTTGGATTTAGATTTAAATTTTGGAGGAAATAAAAAGAAATCTTCCTTTCCCTCCCCGTTTTGAGAAGCAATCAGGTAAAACTGAGTTTATTCCCTTCTCCTTTTCCATCCACCCCACCCCTCTGAGCTTTTTTTTTTTTTAAGGTTTAATTCTTTGGGGTTTTCTCCTGCTTTGATTTATGCAGTTTAAACTTCTGGATGAGGTGAAGGGTTGCAGCCAGTCCTGGGAGCAGTGATTGCTCCAGCTGAAGCAAACAGGGGCCTAAGAGCCCCTCCTTAAGTCAGGACTATTATCAGGGTGTGATTTGATAGTGGGTAGCAAATCTTTAATGCTTTAAAAATCCCAAATCGATAGTCCTGTACAACACAGACTTAAGAACTGTGATTGATTATTTATTTATAAATAACTGGAGGCTTCTGATGATCCAACCTTATTAATTCCCAGAAGAAAGGCCCCAGCAGGGGAATAACTCTGGTTTTTTGGGTTTTTTTTCTGGTTATAGGTTTTGTACCTCTGATTTTCTTCTGTACCCACAGGGTCCCTCTGGCAGTTAAATTACTTTGATGGTGTTTTTAGAAAGTAAACCCCAGAAACTGGTATTAATTTATTTTCATTAGAGCAGCATGAAGGGAGGTTATTTAAGTTCATGATGCTTGTCTTGCTGTGGCCTTTTCAGGAGTGTGTGAGACTTAATTCCCAAACTGCTGCTATTGGATTTTTCTTTTTTTTTTTCTTTCCACACTGAATATTGTTCACTGGTGGTATTTGCAACCACTACCAATCCTTTTTGCCTGTACCTGGATGGGTATAATTTGGGAGTTATTTGCCTTTTGGCTTGGAAATTGCTGCTCTAATTCGTAACAAGCCTCTTATGATTGTTTCTGGCACCTTTTTTATTTTGAAATAAATGGTTTCAGGTGGAGATTATGCAAGTGGGAGGCTTTGCTGAGGCAGCTGCCTTTTCAGAGAGGTGTGGGGATACTCCAGGTTTTTGTGGGGAGCTCCCTGGCATTCCTGTGCGCTTTCCCAGGGGTGCCATGAGCACGACAACTCCCTGGGACTGTGTTTGACCTGCAACCACGGCCACCTCCCTTTCTGTTTTGAGGATATAAAGGGGGAAAATGGGAGCTCCAAGAAGGAAGAAAACGCTGGGAATCCTAATTCCAGTGGGGAGGATCGCTCCTCTGTGTGACCCCCGTGGCCAGAAGGGTGTGAGGGGCCGGGAATCTGTCTTGGCATAAAGCAGGATTCCCTTTTCCCGGGTGCTGCTGAGCCTTGGGGCGGAGTTGGCTCTTCCCTGTCCTGCTCTGGAGCTCGTCCTTCCACCCAGGTGTGTTTTAATCGTGTGGAATTAAGCTGTGTCCCAGCTTGAGGGACCAGGAGAGGGCTTGGGAAGAGCAGGCTCAAGCCAAGGGATCTGGTGCTCCCTCTGGGATCAGGATCATTTCCTCTCCCAGCTGCTCCTGTCAGGGGAGAGAACGAGGTAGGATTTAAGCTCAGCTTTTCTAGGCTTGGTACTCCTTGCCTTCTGTCACTTTCTGAGCACAACATCTGTTTGTTTGGGGTTTAAATCTGTTCTTCCTCCAGTGACAACACCCAGCTTTGCTCAGTGGGATATTCATAGATCTCTGTAGGAAGCTGGATGTTTGGGTTTTTTTTTTTATTATTTAAATGCTGTAAAGATTATGCAACAAACAGACCTTAAGCCTGTATGATTTTATTTTTTTAAAGCTCTATTTTTACCTGCTCTGGGAGCTGGTGGTTTTTTTTTTTTTTGGTCCCTTTGTTTGGGAGCTGCAATGTCAAAATGCTGCATGTTGGCACAACCCAAAGCAGTGGGTTTGGGGATTTTTTGTTCTTTATATCCTTTTATGTCTTTGCCTGTAAAACTAATTTTTTTTTAATTCTTCGTATCCACAGTCTTCTCCAGGTTTATTTATTTTTCCTAACAGAGTCATTTAAAGTGGAAGGACTTGCTGATTGTTTAACCCTTCACATTTGTAGGTTGTACTGAACAGGGGGAAGGGAACACTTCACATCAGTCAATATGAGGGTGGTTGACTTCGGAATGGATATTTTAATTATTATTTTTAAATCCTTAGGCTGAGCATGGTCCTGCTTCTGTTGGAGCCACAGCTTTAAGAGATTTCTGTCCTGATCTGGCTTTGCTGCTTCGCTGGTTGAACCTCCAGTCGAGCAGCTCTTTGTAAAGCCCAGCTTAGAGGTTCACCTTCCAAATTTGTTACCCAGAAACTCCAGAGTTCCCAAACTTTTATTTTTTCCCCCCCCCCGAGGTTTCTCACTCCTTGGAATTAACCAGGATAACGCTGCTTTCTCTTAAAGCTGAGGAATGGACCTACTGCAGAAACTGGGGCCAAACTGGGGGATTTCTGGGAATTTTTGCACTTTGTTTTATCCTGTCCTGTTTCAAGG